TTGTCGATTTCATACCAAAAAAGCGTCAACCGATGTCGGGAGGATTCCGAATTTAACCAAAGAATAATAATTTGAATAGGAGGGAGGGATATTAAGCTTGGCCTTTGGCGAGGTCTCTTGTTGTCCAGAAAATGACCTGACAAACTGAAGCAACAGTTGCTAGTAAAACTCTTCGAGGACAGGATTTTGAGACTTTTCATTCTTTAGGGCTCCGCGATCAAATCATATGAAAATGTGGAGTTCTTAAGAAAGTTTTTCCCCAGGACGATTTTGGTGGGTAGGAAATATGTTCACCGTTTCCATTTAAAAACATATTCCTTTGGGGGTCTAATCGAACCAGCAGCTTGGACTACAATGCACACACTGGGGGTGGTTGATTATTAGAAAAATATACATTCAAAAACAATTCGAGAAAAAAAAATTAATTTTCGTATATTTTGTTGTCACGAAAAAAACTCGCTTTAAAGCCTAACGTTACATAAACAAGTTCCCTACAAACAAAATTTCTCACGCTTGCACGGGCTGTTGTGTCCACGAATTTCCATATATAAACCTATTGTAAATTTTATAAACCTATTGTAAATTCAGAAGGTATATATGTTCCTGAAAGGCCGCGCTTGAGCTGTCGGGCAGGCATAGGCCTCATGTTCATGCTTTTACATTGTGCTAATTTTCACTATTTCAAATAAAACAGAAATTGATACTCCAAGTTAAATAAATGCAAAATTGTCTTTATTTTTATGGTGGAAATCTCAAAATCTGAATCAATTACTTAAAAATGAAGGTATCTTGGAACAATCAACTGTGGTGGGAGAGCATAACATGGTAATTTAGTATTGTCAACAGAGTTGACAACGTAAATTGGCCACCGTAAAGAGTCTTTAAAAAGCTGACGTTTCGCTCTGACGAAAGGACTATAATACTCTTTACGGCGGTCAATTTACGTTATCAACTCAGTTGATAGTACTAAATTACCCTGTTTAAGAGACAACTCTGTTATTTCGCCTTTTTTATTGTTTACTGTTCATTGCACCTTGGCTAAGCTATTTAACATACCAATTTTGATTCTTACTTTTTAAAAATAAAGTGCGCCAACATTAAGTTGAGCATGAGTCGAAACAAAAGAGGTTGCAAAAACATTTTCAAATCAGAACAAAACGCCACCCAAATAACAATCGTAATTAACGAAAATGAGCGGAAAGAAAACGAGTTTCGAAATTAAAAGAAGACTGGAGGAAGAGCCAACCCAAAGACACTTCAGGCACAGCGTGAGATGCAGTACTGGAGTGAGCTGGAGTGTAAATAGGAACAGAAGAGATAAGTAATCTTCTTTTTTTCAAATTCTGTAAATTTAAGGTATTAAACCAAGTTATCGAAAGGCACTTTCCCTAAATAACAGAGTTCTCAGTTCTATCAGCATCTAGCTTTACCCCAGTTCTCGCTATGATGATGGATTCAATCATTCGAGGAGGTTTTTGCGTTGGAACTACCAGCTGGTGACAGCCTTGAGGAGTGTTTTGAGTTCGTTTCCGAATAAATAAAAAGTTTATGTTAAATTAAGCACGTTTATTGTCAATTTCATGCCAAAAAAAAGGGTCAAACGATGTCGGCAGGATTCCGAATTTAACCAAAGAAAGAAGCACTAAGGGGTTTTACAATCTATAGAATGATAATTTGAATAGGGGGGTATATTAGTTTGGCCTATGGCGAAGTTTCTTGTTGTCCAGAAAATGTCCTGATAAACTGAGGAAACAGAAATGCAGGAAAACTCTTCAAGGACAGGATTTTGATTGTAAAGGGTTACGTAATCACATCATACGAAAATGTATAAGAACTTTTAAGTTTTTCCTCAGGAAAATTTCGGTGAGTAGGAAAACAGTTTACCGTTTCCTTTTAAAAACATATTCCTTTGGGGGTCTAATCGAACCAGCAGCTTGGACTACAATGCACACACTGGGGGGTGGTACATCATTAGAAAAATCTACATCCAAAAACACTCCGAGAAAAAAAACATTTTCACTCTTATCACTAAAAAAAACTCGTTTTAAAGCCTTACGTTACACGGACAAGTTCCATACAAACATTATTTCTCACAATAGGGTCCGCTTGCATGGGCTGTTGTGTCCACGAATTTCGATAGATAAACCTATTGTAAATTTTAGCCCTCAAGATATGGGAATTACCTGAAGGAGTAGGAAGTTAATTCAAAGATGCTGATGCCAGCCTCGATGACTTTTAGAAGTATAACTGAAAATCAAGACCAAAGAGTTAGAGAGAATTCACTCTATGATTATGAATAAAACTCAAGTTTAAGCGCGGTGGCCGTATTTAAACTCAGAAAACAAATGAAATCAAATCACATAGCGTTATTAATTATAATTTAGTCGGTGGATTGAAAGGGTCTCAAAGTGCTACCATTGTCGATGCAAGTTATTAAAAATAATTTATTTAAAGGGAAAATGCAATCATTTTCTGGCCACATAGGTATTTCAATAATATTAAAATACTAGTACAATTTAGTAATTTTTATTACGTTGTGGTGTCATGAACGTAAAAGGAAACAGTTCTACTGCTGCCGGAAAAATTCATTAATTTTCTCCACTACGAGCTAAATAAAGATCTCCTAAACAGCCGGATACATCTTACTTTGACTGACGCACCTCTTTCTGGCCACATAGGTATTTATAACGTTGTAGTGTCGTGAACGTTAGAGGAAACGGTTCTACTGCTGCCAGAAATATTCATTAATTTTCTCCATAATGAGCCATTCAAATATCTCCTAAACAGCCGGATACATCTTACTTTGACTGACACACCTCTATATATCTTCATATGAGAGAGGTTTAGCGAAAAATTATCAGTTAGTGAGTGAAGCTGGTGCAAGCAAGATGAAAACTGAAGCGACCTTCATGTTGGCAGTACTCTTTTCCTTAGTGTTGGTCGAAGGAATGATCAATAATCCTGGTTCTGGACTGGTAAACTAGTTATCATAAAAATCCCGTCTGCTTAAATTCCTTCCAAAACCTGCCATAATTGTGTTATGATAGCCCCTTGATCACGTCATTATTTGATAAGCTTTAATCCTCTCTCATTGAATGTTCTGTTTGCTTCTTTTCTTCTTCTTGAATAAGTTCAGTTTTCGATGTAAACCATACTATAATCGATTTCAGCTAAGTGTGAACTGACGTTATTATTCAATTACTTCTCGTAAACGGCGTTTTAACTCACCTATTTTAGAGAAAAATGCAGGAGAGAGAACATTCAACAGAGTACTCGAGGATGTACGCCCGCAGACCCTTGAAAGGGGTAAGTGCAGAAATTTCCCTGTAACCAACAACTTTTTTGAGTTAGTTTTTTTTTTTTTAACGGCGCCTGTGTCATTTTGGGTACTGTGCTGCATTCGTACTTGTATGCAACTAGCTACATTGCAAATGTCCTAGGTCTACGTAGCCTTCAAGAAGAGGAGTCATCTTTTTTCTTCTTACAGTCGAGTAAAGGCCAGAACGATTGAGGGGGGCGATTTTCCTGAAACACACGTCCCTCTTGTAGCTCCTGTTTTACGGAGAGAGCCTGCTAATGCTATTTATTCTGTTATGTTTCTATTTCTTGTTTAGACAAAACTGGAGCTTAAGTACCGAGGAGACGTCTGCTTACAGGCACGTGAGCTGGGATGCGAAGTGGAACAACAGAAATGAAACCACGTCAAATCGAGACAGCAAAGCTTACCATAATTCAATGGTCGCCTGCTTCATTAAATGATTAAATTGAAATATAGAATGTTGCTGTAAAAATAAACTTTTTAAATGCAAAAGAGATTTTGTCCTTATGATAAACATACATTGGATACAATGTGTAAAAATAAAATCTGTGGATGATGTGATGGATAAACATTTCTTTGTTTCTTCAAACTTTTCGGACAATCAGTCTCTTTGCAAGATTTTTAAGCAGAGCTATTGGTTACCAAAAATTAGATGAGTCAATCAATGAATAAATTACCGAATAAATAAATGAATCTTGGAACAATCCAGTGTTTACAAGACAACTTTGTTATTTCACTTATTATAGTTTACCATTTATCGCACCTTAGCTGAGTAACCGAACATTTTGATTAGTACTTTTTCCAATAAAAGCGCGCTAAAATAATTCCGATGTGAAAAAGGGATAACAACAAATTTTCCTGCCATGCATATGACAATATGATGATCGAAAAAAGAGAGGGAAGAAAACGATAATCGAAATGGCAAGAGAAGATCGGGCTAATTAACCCTATAACACCTAGAAGTGATAAACATGTAACTTCTTTTAATACTATACATACATTATCCAGCAAACAGGTAATGAGAATGTTCAAACTTATCACGCAGAAGTTTTTTTCTTGATCTAACTCTAAATTGTTTTAAATAAGTTACAAGGAAATATGTAGCTGCCAGGGAGGAGAATTAAAGATGAGATCTTGGCAGTAAAACGGTCGAGGAACATTTCGGGTACAACGTGATTTCCATGGAACTAAAATATATATATATATCGGAAATATATCTGAAAGTTGGACAAATCAATAAGACATAACTTTTCTGCGACTCTAAGTTTCACGCTTACGCGAACCCGTCTGATGATCACGTACGCGTGAAACTCAGAGTCACAGAAAAGTGATGTCTTATTGATTTGTTCAACTTTCAGATATACCACGTTCTGCGAACGCATCGAGCACTATACCGCCAGGATAGACCATAATCAAGATTTATTTATTTATTTATCGGAAATATATATATATATATATATATATATATATATATATATATATATATTTATATATAATAGAGATCGGTTTGCACGGGTTCAAATCCCATACAGGCCTGAATTTTTTTTCAGGCCCTATTTTCACTACTGCTCAAGTAATGTTCTACTGCCAAGATCACTTTCATATTAACAATGAAGAGTCTAATTCTGACGAGACAAAAGACTGCATAACGGAAGAGACACAAGGAAAGCTGATAAGGAATGTGACCAAAAGCCTGCTATGGGAGAGGAACAGCTTAACCAACCTGAAAGTGAAACTGGATCGGGGTTATTACAATAGCTTAACGCTCCATGCGAGAGCCATGTCATAGCCCAGAGAAGCAGATGGGCTATCAACAATATCAGTACCTGAAAGGCCGAACTTGGGCTGTCAGGAAGGCATAGGTCTAGTGTTCAAGCTTTTACATTGTGTTAATTTTCACTATTTAAAATAAAATAGAAGTTGATACTCCAGATTTAAATTTTACTTGTGCAATTAGATGCGAAATTTTCTTTACTTTTATGGTGAAAATCTCAAAATTTGCTTTGAATATGTAAAATATTACAGTTTTTTTCGATTAGTTCTGCAAGTTTAAAGTATTACAAACAGAGTCATGTTCATGGGGTGAAAATATAGGTTAATTATTTGTGAGAATATTTCAGTTTGTTAAAAATAGTAAAGATGCTTTGAAACTGAAACGTTTTTCATACATTTGTTGGGCTTGCTGTAAGGTAAGGAGCAGTGATTTGTTTGCTCTGATTTTGATCTCTACCAAAAAGAAGCTTTGCGGCATTTTATTCACACCTCTTTTTATGGAAAAGTTGATAAAGATCTCACTTACACTAACCTTGACATTGTCAAGAACATTTTTAACGACCTTACAGCAAAACAAGAATTGCCGGTTGTTGCAACAAATGTCACCATTACCACCTCTACACCAATTCTACCAACAATGAAACGGCCCAAAACCTTATTAAGGACTGTAACGGCGCTACTTCCGGCATTTTCAAGATCTTTCTTTCAGATACAGATATGAAAGTTTAAGGGGTTAAACATTTCAGTGATCATGTCTTAAATAGAGATATCAGTGCAATTAGTTTTTCATTCATTTACCATTCAATCATTCATCAGCTATTTTAAGTTATTAATTCACCTAGTTTTTCTTGATTATGTCCTAATTTACTCTTAATCCTTTAACTCTTAAGAGAAGATCCTGGCTCTTAACTCTCCTTGCAGTATCAATCTTAAAATAAAAAAAAACAAAGAAAATGATCGCCGATTTTAGAAGCTCCTGATTGTCCAACAAATTCTCCCTGTCAGTACCACAGGAATGTAAAGAGGACAGTATGGAGCATATGAATGCTATGTTTGGGAGTAAAGTTTCCTGAATCTCAGAGCTGGTTCGAATTGAAAATTTTACTAACTACTTTTGTCATAGTTCCGTATGTAAATCGGATTCATCCTCGATCGCTTCTCCAAATTGTTCAGCTTCAGAAATCATCTCTTCATCCCTCATGTCGTTTTCCGCCATTGATAAATCTGTCAAATCAGTTACCAACACGCGAACGTGTTCCCAATCCTAGACGTAAACAAAAATTACGTCAGTAACGAGGGAGATTTTGGGACCGGCCATTATTTAACGCCAGAAGGGAAGGGGTGATCGGAGGATTCTGGTTGTGTCACAGTACAACTCAGCTGATTTCCCTCGACTGATTCTCTCCGCCGAAAGCCATGTAGTATTCTGACGATTCCACATCATTGGTCGTCAATTTTCTATACTCCCCCTTTAACTCTGTTATCACTCTGTTAGCAGCGACTGACCCCTCCCCCCCGCCTTCGTTTTCCTGAAAATCATGTCATTACCCTAAAACTATTTGCTTTCACAACGCCTTCCGCAGGACGGAAATAACACTGAATAAGCGCGGGTAATATGGCGGGGCAACTGAATCTAAAGTTGGGTAACCTGTGTGTGACTCAACAGCATCTTATCCAGGTAAATCAGTGATAAGCCCTGATCGCTTCATACCATTGGAACCGAGAGCCTTCGTCATCTGAGACGAATGGCTAACGTGCAAGACGATTACGTCTGATTCATTTGAACATCCCAAATGTTTTCGTAAGTTCCAATAACCAGCTATAAACGTATAAGTCAAAGACGAGAAGAAAATTATCTCTTCATGTTGTAAAAAACTTCTTCCCCCCTCGCTTAACGTTCATAAGCCATATACGTAAAAAAAGAGCAAACCTCTTGATGCAAGTGACTCAGGTCGTCGGACGTTATCTTATCATCTTGTGTCCGGTCCAAGACACTGAAGAGCTTACGCAAAAATAATAGAGAAAGTTTTCAGTAGGGGTTCTTCTCGTAACGAATCTTCGCCTTGATATGGGAGAATTTTCACAGACAGGCAAGTACAACGAGGACAAACTTCTTTGCAGACGTGTCTAATTCAGAGGACCGCTTGAACCCTCCATCTCGAAGAAACACAATCAGCGCTAGGTGAGGAGAAAACTCAGAGAGAACAACAATAAAATCAGAGGCTCAAACGAAGAATAAAGGGTCTCATCACTCACTTTCTGCAAGACGTTATACATTTCTTCCGACCAGTGCACATCATGGCCTAAAACATCTGGCTGAAGTAAAAAAAAAAAATACAAATAAAGAAAACGAACACTCAGTAATGAAGTAATAGCCTTCTCTAACAACGGTGAAACCGATGTCTGTTAAGGAAGAACGACTTTTTTCATCGTAAACTTTAATAGGTTAGTCGTTATCACTTACTTGTGTAAAGAACCCTTGAAGTCCTTTAAGTGAAATGTTGTTACCACGTAACTTAACTGCCTCGAATAAACGGTTTCTATGGCGGAAAAAAACGATGGTTTCATTATTTGGTCAAAAAGGGAAAAACTTTCAAAGCTTTCTACCATTTGTCATCAAACCAACGCAACTTCAGTTTTCAATAAGGAGACATCTTGATCTTTACATTAACGAAAATACGCTTCAGCGAAATGTGATGCTAGCCGAAATCGGAAAAAAATGTCCGAAGTCGGATGAAAGTGTCCACAAATGGACGATAGCATTCGATATCAGAAGACAGAAATGGACGAAATCGTTCGAAATCAGACAATAGTGTCTGAAATTGGAAGAAAAGTGTCCAAAACAGAAAATAGCGTCAGAAATCGGATCAAAGAGTCGGAAATCAGACAGGACTGTACGAAATCCGACCAAAATGTCTAGTAATGAACGTTGAGGTTCGAAATCAGACTAAGACGTTCAAAATAGGACGAAGTGTCCGAAAACGGACAATGAAGTTTGACATCGGACGAGAGCAACCAAAATCGTTCCTACACTGTTCTCGATGTTGAGACAGGTCGCGACCTTCCCTGGCGTCACCAGAGTTTTTTTCCTACCCTCCATGAGTACTTGAACAGTGGCAGCATTCATTTTAGGCTCGGTTTCATAACCGTAAGGGGTTAAAGGGTTAGAAAATTAAATAAGTTATCGCCACAGTTTACCTCTAAATTTTTCCTGAAGCAAGTAACCTTCAGCATGTTACAGTGAAAGTGCGTTTATTTTTTTGTCGGAATCATGCATCGAGGTAAGCAAAAAAAGACAACGAAGTAATACAATCAGTTTTAACCTGATCAACTTTTCCTGGGCATCGTGAAGTGCTCCAAATCCAATAAAAGTCAAATCTTCGATGGTTGTTCCCAGTTCTGTGTCACAGTTTCTAAAGTTCACTTTTACTCCATGCCTCCACCAAATGTTCACAGCCATGTTGAGGTCATAAGACCGCACATAATGAACCCTACACACAAGAGTAATATTCAAAGGAATGAGCGTGCGGCAAAGAAAAAATTCATGGTCCCTTAGATTTCAAACCTCAAACCTCCCAAGTTCGCCTTCGAGCTGGGCCATAAGGATACTGAGTTCACACCAACCTATGAGCAGGCATACAAGACGAGTTCTACGCCCGCCAACCTAAGAGTCACTATTAACGTCAGTGCTAGACCGTTTGCAGACCTCAACATGGCTCGCGTGGCGCGAATCTTTGTCTCGTTCTTTCCTTCAGCGAAGAGACTCTCGTGCCCAACAAGCGCAGGATGACAGAGATACTAAACCCACTATAGGCACTTTTTTAGAGTATAAAGGATCAAAGTGGACAACCAGAGCAGGCTCAACCCCATCCACCTGTGGTGGTAGCCGATCAGAACATGCAATCATGCTCAGCTTCTAAGCCCAGGTAACAAAAAAATCATTTGTAAACCTTCAAAAACACAGAACCTACCAAAGAAACGGAACATAAAGGCAATCACCAGGCTCAATGAAGGCAAAGTGATGTTCTATTTTGTGAAGTCCTGGATACTTGAACAGGTCCACCCTTAAAAAAAGAATGCAGCAAATTGGGATAAAGATATATTAAGCCACTACTTAGAAGCTTGGTTATTAGCCTATGATCAGGGTCCTCAGTGTTAGCACTGCAGGACACACGTTTTTCTGTCTGTGGGAAGATTTGAGACGAGTCGGAAGAGGTTTGCTGAGGGTCTGGCACTATAATCATCAGTACCAGACCCTTCACAGACCTCTCACCAGAAGGCATTTCTCAAGACCTCATACTTTGCTGGGAGCCAAGAAACACTTGTGCCAAAGCGATAGTAATGAGGGCCAGCTCCCAGGCCTCTTGGCTGTGTACATTAACCCTTTAACTTCTAGGAATGACCAAGAAAGAATTTCTCCTTACAATATCAATACAATATCAACTAGATAAGTGAAGAGAATAAAGAAAAATATCAATTTGGGGTCAATTAGTTGATCCAATACTAAATTCTCTGAATTAACATTATAAGAATTGTATGGTTTACAGTAAAGAGAATAACAAATTTGATCTGGGAGTTAAAGGGTTACATTAATCCAAAGATGCTAAACCTACACAAAATTTGGTCTCAAAACTACAATGAAAGGTTTGTAGGGTCACTTAATTCTTGGCCTAGTTCCTCAAGTAAGGAAAGACTATCGAAAGCTAAGAATAACTTGAAAGCTGCAAACAGACAGGAAATCAATACAACTGATTCTTCCAACCCCCTTTTCTCTTTTGCACTCAAATCTATATCAATAACATAATACAGGTTCATGTGTTTTGCATTTCTTTTCTAATTATTGATAACTACATATTAAATACTTATATTTACAATCTCTTCATTTATTCTGACTAGTAATTATCAAATAGCCATTATACAAACCTGTCCACATCTACTTCAGAATATCCACGTTCTGTCACATTTACCTATATATAAGACACCAAAAAAGTGTTAAAAAAGCATTATGTATGATTTTAAAATGAGAAGTAAAGGTACAAAATGTAAATGTAGAGTCTGTATTTGAAACAAGTGGCCCATCCAGCCAGAGCTGATTCAAGTAAAAATTCCTTAGCATGAATTGATTGAGGGTATCACTACTCCCTCCTGGAGGGAGCATTCAATCTGGCTTCCCGGACAATTTGCAGGTGCCCATTTTTACTTCTGGGTGGGGAAAGGCCCTTTGAGAGTAAAGCATTTTGCCAAAAAACACAGCAAATATTGATCTAGCCACGTCTTGAACCCCAACTTCTCTGTGACCTTGAAGTTCAGCAAACTGACCATGTACATGCAATATGCCACCCTGTCTCCCAAACGTATTTTGTAATAAAATTTCACCTAGATCGTGGGGTATTGCAGCAACACACACCAAAAGATGAGAGAAAGGCCTGAAGCGAACTTAACATAAAACAATTTTACCTGCTCCTGATATTCCCTATCTATCAAGAAGAATTCTTTGGTTCCCTTAAACACACACATGATATTTTCTGCATGATCATTGTGAAGGACAGACTTGGTTCCTCCACTACTGAACCACAAAATCTGCAGAAAGAGTAATTGTCACCATCAGAGAGGAGTTTATATCTTCATGCTTAAAATGATTTTAGTTTCAAATTATTTCAAAATAATTTAGTTTTTATTTTCCTTGGAAAAGAACTATGGTATTGTTGTTGAACAAAGGAAAAAACAACTAAAACTAGCTATAGTTTATCCATTTGGCCCTAAGAGTGACTGGCATCTTATTTTTACACCACTGAATCACACATTAAGATTACACTAATAAAGGAAATGATCACCAACTAAAGAAGTTCTTGACTGTTATACAAATTCTCCTAGTCAGAGTCCTAGGGAAGTATAGAGAACAGTATGGAGAATACACATGCTGATGCTATGGTGTTAAGGGTTTACATGACTGAATTGAAATTCACTTCAAACAACAACATAGCTACGCAACCACAATAACTTACTGGGAAATTACTAAATTACATGTCACAACCACATAAAAAATCAAGAAAGGGATTAAGCATGATTACTGGAATGATGTCCTTTCAATAACTAGTGGTATTATCTTTTGTATAAAGTAAAACTATTATAAATTAAAATTAAGACAACCTAAAATTATTATAATAACACAGCCAACATGTAAGGCTGTTCATGGAATATAACTATACCCTTATAAATATGACAACAAGAGCTCAGTGTTCAAGAGCATAAACTTACTTCTTGAACAAGGTTTCCTTGTGTAATATCATGACAAGCTATTGGAAATGGCAAAAGTATATCCTTCCTAACATAAAATACAAATTAATGAGCAAGCAATCAGTAGAGAAAAAAAAAGGTACCTGTTTGGGATTCTCTACAGTTACAAAAACTGCTCTGAGAAAAAGCAAAATCTTCCCTTTGAAGCAAGGTTTGTGATATGGTAATTCATGGCATTGGTACTTGACACAGTTATTTCAGATCAAGGTCAAGTCAAGGGGACATGTCTAAGGGCGGGGCTCTTACGGGGGGAGAGTGGTTTTTCATTATTCCCAAACTGCATTCAAATATCATTTTATTAGATTAAGAACAAGCCAACAACAACATAAATCGTGCATTGATTAATAAAAAAAAACACTGCTAATCCTTAGTTTTGATGTCAGTACAGTTGGTGCATGTAGCAACCTCTTCAAACTCAATGTGTGAGTTAACAAACAGAAAGATTACAAATTAAACTGGAAATGTACATATTGCAAACAGCAATTACACCCTTTACTACTTTGGCAATGGAATCATCCATCCATAAAAACAGGGGAAGGGAAGGAGGTAGGTTTTTCCATGGGGGGGAGGGGCGGCAGGGGGAGTACTTATTCCCGGACCTGATGCAATTATTTAACGGTTGCTAATTCGGGATAAATCTTCCCTTCAAACAAGAATTTCAATTCATATCAGCCCTTTAACTCCCTAGATCTGATTGTCAATTCTCCCCTTCAGCTGCTAAATATTTCTTTGTAAATAAGTGACGAGAATTTAGCGTTAGATCAAGATAACAACATCCACCTGACGGGTTGGAGTATTCTTAGTACCTGTTTGCTGGATAATGATGGACATTTTTGCTAGGGAGACGTTACATGTCAATCCCTTCTTGGAGTTTTATAAGGTTAACTACAAAACTCGATTGAAAATTGAATGTAAGATCTGAGGTAAGGACTCCTTGTGCATTATAAGACCCCTTGGAGGATAAGAATTCCGCCCTTGAACTTACCTCAAAAATTCAGGGACTGAACTTATCATATATTTCCCTGAAGAGTGCATATCGCGTACAAAGTCTGCAAATGGTAAATCTTCCCCTGGAGCTGAACGATTCTCTTTTTTGTCAACTTCCACTGTAACTAAAAGTTCCTCACTCTCGGTATAGGAAAGAAAATACTCGTCATTCCATAAAGAAAAGGCTGGAAATAGTCGCGCTGCGCCGCGGAGAAGAACAGGTTTTTCAACATCGACAAATCTTCTAAAGAATTCTTCCGCTGTTGGAAACCCATCGTAAACTTCTACCTCGAGCCTCTTGCCGTATGAGAATAATGGCTCAAGATGTCCCTCTAAATTACCTTGACTGGCGTTAAACGTGGCGACAAACGCAAACGATATAGCGAAGTAGATTTCTGTTCGTGTTCCCGTCATACTCGAGCTCCGCTTACTGTTACATTTAGATCAACTTCTTCGTTTATGGAGTGGGCTTAAATTCGTTTCTTCGACGTGTGCGAAAACATTTTGCAATCAAAAGTCGCCTGAGTACCCTGGAAAGGTGAACCAGTCGGGAAAGACGACAAAGAAGAGTCGAAGAACGCTGAAAGTGTATCTCAAGGTTACGGTAACAACTTCCTTCTTGATTACACGGTTGGCGATCTGGGAACGAATAATGAAAGATCGAAGTCTTCTCACCCTGCCGTTTTCGTTTACGTCACCAAAACAAGAGTTTGAGAGAATACAACAGATGCCAAATACACAAAGAGCCCTTTTCCGAAGTACGTGTGAGTGATCTCCGCAGTTTTTTGCAAAAAAAAAAAAACAGAAAACCCTCTGAACATTCGTCTCTAAGTTCCTTTGTTCAATTTTGAGTAAATGAAGCCTGGGAAGGTAAAGTTTTTTTTTCCTGAAAAGGAAGTACTTAATTACTTCCTGTAAAATTATTTATGGTACGTTTGAGACACACCGAGGCCGGTTGAAGAAATACCAGATACCATAAGTCTCTGCACGGTTTAGCTCCAGATTATTTATGTTCTAAATTTGCGTATAACTTAAGGGACTCTGAGAATAAGCTTAATGTTCCTTTGCCGCGCACAAACTATTACAAAAAATAGCTTTAGCTACAATGGCGCCACTCTTTGTAACAGACTTCCTCGTGACCTAAGACAAGCAGAGTCCCTTGGGTTATTTAAGCGTTTAATTATAGAAGTACGTTCAGGCACGGCATTCGTGGAGCGCAGCTTTAGTGAGGTTTGTGCTTTAAGTATAGTTTTTATAGTATCTTATCCATTTGATGCATGTTTATATGTTTGAATGTTTTTTATGGCTGATGCCTCTCCGTGGGTAAATAAAGATTTTCTATCTATCTATCTATCTATCTATCTATCCATATACCACAAGTAAACACTAAGGTATCATAAAATTGATCGAGCCACACTTCGTTTATTCATCGCTTACAATTTACATCATTAGATAGAACAGAGTGATCTCTACTTTTCAATCTTATCGATCTCTACTGATACAAATATTTACGTCAAACACGATCAAACTATTTTTGTTGTCAGTTTTATTCGCTGTGATTCCGCCTTTCATGGGCTTACAATAAAGAGGAACCTTTTATTTAGGAACCTGCCCTTTAGTCTTCGACCATATTCGCCTCTAAAAATCGCATAGATTTTTTAATATGATACCGTTTGTACCTGGTGGATTGTACTCCTCTCCACTCGATCCCCGCTTTCTCGTCGTAGTAGAATGTCTCACCAAATGAGTCAATAATTTTCCTTTTGAAAGTGGCAAATGTCCTTTTGTGGTCCACCCATACTTTTCCGTTCGTTCTACCGGCTTCTTTAGCTTCTGCCATCGCCTTCATACTTTTAACATGGATGCCATGGTCTCCTTTCAGACCCATGCCTGACTTCCTTGCATCGTTACAGCAGGGATCCGGTTCAGTCAAATTGAGCTCTGTCGACTCTTTTTTCTTTACAGCAACTCCTAGCTCGGTGCACTTTTCCGAATATTTCTTACTCGTGTTGTGCGATTAGAATAAGTTTCAGTTCGTTTGATTCCAAAGTCAGGGAAGTGAAATAAAATATATCCTCGTTTGCGCAGCCCGCCAAAATTCAGAGCATGTGAAAACTGATCATCCGCAGACCAAAAACCCTGTAGGCTCTGGTTTACTTTGTCACGTGAGCTTTATAGTTGAGAAATGTCTCTACATCGTCGCCAGTGTCCTTTCCTCTGCACTGAAGGAATGAAGAAAAAGAAACCTGAAAATGGAGTCGCATTCATCAGGTCCTACTTTGGAGACCGCCGGTTATAACCGGTGGCGGATCCAAACCTTGCCGGCTTTCCTTCCTTCTGCGATTTTTTTTTTTTTTACCCAAAATAACATAGGGGGCAAGGGCCCCCCGCGCTCCTCCCCTGGATCCGCCACCGATAACAACATTCCTTGAACAGTCACAATATCCATGGCATGGAATGTAAAATAATGTCAGCCGACTTTGTGAGCATTTTTATCTTACGACCAAAAGAGAAGAACACAGGTTTCATAAGTCTCATTTCCCAGAACCTCAGCTGGCGTAGCAATTCTACGGACAAACTACCTGTTGATTGCAGGCTACCTAAGGGCAGTGCCTTTGGAGCTTCGCTTTTTCAGTATGAAAGATCTCCCAGCAGTTTACAAGAGTTTCCCAACTAAATTTTGCGCAGAAAAAATTCAGTTGGAACTATCTTAAGTAGTGGGAGATAGAAGACAACGTGTACGCTAACGTAGACCCTACCTGTATAGTGGACAGGATGTGAAAAGGGTGCTTTGATGGCTGCCATGCACCTGCTAAACCCAAATTAGACCTAACAGGGCTCCTGAAAAAATTAATGATCTTTGGAAGGAACTAGGTGATCCACACGCTCTTCGACGTCATCTTTTTGTTTCGTTCTCTTTCGTTGTTGTCATTTTTGTTGTTTCATTTCAGGCGACCTGTAGATAACTGCGAACTCTCTTTCGCTTGCCTGAAAACGTCGGAAAAATACCGTATTCTCTCGAATAATCGTTGCCCTAATGCGAAGAATTATTTCATAACCTGCACCTCGAACCTCCCAGTGGACGGTTTCAAAGTAGGGCAGACTTCTAACATCGCGGGAAGGGCAGTAACCCGTATGTATCTGCATATCTTCAGGTAACTAATGGCAAATCGATCCTTTTGAATGCACCAAGTAGAAGCTGAGGAGGCACGCCTTTCAATTAACGCTGCAGATGGTAGACTTGGATCAGAAACAGATCAAGAAGGAGTCATTGGGATCAAAGTTGAGCGAATAGGACACCGCTGGTAAAGCACTATTAGAAAGACCCAAGAGAGACGGATGGTGACAATCACAAGACACTTTTCTTGGACATTTTAAATTTTTCGTACAAATCTGATATATATTGATAAGGTAAAATAATCGTCCATTTAAGGCTCCGAAAATTTCACAAACACCACGGTACTTTTTCGAATGAATATTCGCTAGTGACGCTAGCGCTTGATCTGCAGGCAGTCGTCCTGAACTGACAGACAGGCGAGATCACGTGGCTGGTAAATCATTAATATTGCTATAATTCCTTTTCTTTCTTAGAACACTGAATCAGCGAAACCGGAGAATAAGGTAAAATTTTTCTTTTTAATGACTTCGTCTACTCTTGTGTCTTACACCCGCGTTAAAAACATGTACTGTCTATTTTTTTCGCGTAAGAAAACGCCACTAGCCATGATTCCTCGTGCTTCGTTCAATGAGGACAGGTTTCTTTCTACCTAGAATCTGTTCGAAATGATTATCGTTACATCTTGTCTTGTTTTCGTTTGACCAAGCATATTATTCCTCTATAGTGTTTCGCATGTGTTAACGCTAAGAGCTATTTTCGAGTAAACAAGTTTGTGACTGGGGTTCAAATTCCGCTGAGTCGCATGTCCGGTTCGCGCTGCCGAAGTAGAATTGTTTATCATCCCTATGTGAACTTTGCGGACGGCTTTCGTTACAAGGGAAACCGCTTTAAGGTTATTTAAGCGGTTTCAGTGTTATGTGATTCGTTCAGTACACTGAAGTTTTATAGGTCTTTATTCGCACTTAAGTGATGCGTCCTTTTGCACTCGCAAACTCACGACTTCTAAGGAAAGCCAGCTAAGAGTATCACGAACCCTCGAATAAGTATTATTAGTGTATAAAACGAAGTGAATCGGGGGCATTTGAATATGGGGCGATTGATTACTGACCTGTCGATATTTCTAAAGTCGAAACCGTTGAAATTTTAAACTTTTTTATAGTATGTTATGATGTACTGTGTAAAACAATTTAAAAATACTCTCGTCTATTATGCTGTTAGACTTTTCACTGTTATTGTTATGAAACTGCGACAGCGGATTTTGTCTCCGATCCGATGTACTATTTGCGTCTCCTATTCTATTAATGATTTGATCCTCGAATAAAGCACGTATTCACTTTCCACTTGTATTATTTTAAAGAGATTCCTTTGTCACTGTACGTGTGTTAAATTTGAGCGTTGGCGTTGTCTCTTCCTTTTGCGTTCTATTCGCACGGACATTATCCTTAAAGATAACTCATATTTACTTATTGATTCGATTGTTTCTGTTGAACGATACTTCAAACGCTTCGCTGGTAACAAGTTTGATGTGATAACCCACACGAACAGTATTGAAATCGCGCTGTATTTTCTATGTCAAAACAGCGTGTAAGGTTTACAAATCTTTATGAGTCTTTAGCTCATAAAATATTCCGACAAATGTCACGCGAGAAGCGAGCGTTACTGACGGTTATGTAGCACGGTTTACTTATCTCACCCTTCGTTGGAAATGACCTTGGAGATAAGTTCCGGATAGTCTGTCTGGGCATACGGGCATAAAAAATGAATCAGGCTATCTGAAGTCCCTGCGTTCAGAAAGGAGTAGCTCACAGATATTTTCCTTTTCGATACTCAGGATTGGAAAGCAACTTGGATAGTAGTGCTTTTACTATTAAGCGGTTAACAAGCCATGCAAAACTATTCGACTAAATGTGATTGCTATTCAGAGATTAGAAGCAGGCCCTAACTGAGAGGACAAAGATTCAAAAACTTACTCATAAGGTGTAGAAGAATAGCCTTTGCCGCCAAATAAACGGAGATTCCATTGCCAGACAACAAAATAAAGCTAACATCTCGCGTGTAATTTATTAACATTTCTCTCAAATTTTTCGACAGGGCTTAGAAGAGAATAGCGCAGCGGGAAATGTCTAACATTCTGGATAATTTAGACAGCGTTAATAAGATATTAGAGTCATACCTGGATGAACTCGACCTGTGGCAGAGAGAAGTAGACAATATTAGGATAATGCACCATGAAGTTTGGAAAGGCAGCAGATTATCACCTTTGATTAAGCAACACCGTGCTGGAAGCAGAGTTGAAAAACAGACAAGAATCTTACCTATCGGTGGTCAGACAGATGTCGATTACATGTTTGAGGTCGTGGGGATTAAGGTTTTTTGCAATGGTAACCGAGATTTTATGTATTTCAAGTCTTGTTCTCAGCAAAACTCAGACGTTGATGACGAATATGATATGTCCAACTCATTTGGAAGGATTTACGTTAGTGAGGCTTACAAATCGTATTTGGAAGGTCATGAAATGTATGGGAAGATATTCGCCGAGGCCATGAGTTTTGACCAAACGGAGAATGCATTCTTACTCATTCCTGGAAAGTTTAAAGAGAATGTAGTACAAAATTGTGGATTAGATTACACAAGAAACGAAGTCCTTCCTTCTACCATCAGTCCCTCAATATCTGGACAGGGTGCAATGAATGAGTACGATGGAGTTCCTTGTCTCAAACTCGTCAGTTGGCCACGAGAAGCCTTGGGTTGGATACACCGTGAAAACCGAAATGACATAGCTTTTCAAAATGAGTGGAAATCACAAGTTGTTGAAAATATCCCTCTATTCCTGGTTCCAACTGGAAACCCAATGTCCAAGGAACAGAACGTGCAATTCCGGCTCTCGTTTTCCATGGTTGAAATAGCCTGCTTTCAACAAATGACATCTCCAATGAGGAAAATGTACGGTATTGTCAAGTATGTATTCAAGGCTCTATTCCACGATATCAATCTTTTGAGCTCTTATCATCTCAAAACACTGATACTGTGGAAGATCGATCAAACGCCTATTGAGGAATGGAAATCCAAGAAAGCAACAGAATTTATCATGGAAATGATGAAAGATGTTTACCAAGCCCTGAATGATGCTAACATCCCTCACTTTTTCGTTGAAAATTGTAACATTTTTCCGGTCCATAAAGTCACAGATGAAAATGTTCTTGAGTACGTAACCATTTTTCAGAATATGCCATATCGGTTGCAAATGATTCTAGAAAATCTCCTGCAAAAGGATTTGGGTACTCCAACTAGTGACAAGTGGCTCAATTTAGCCATGGTCAAGTTGAAAAGTATTCGCCAGACAGGGTTGGAAGTATACATTGATGGCTACTTGACAAGACTGCTCAGTGTCATTACATTCTCGGTAACAGAGAACTTTGCACAGAGCCGTCAGCAGGGAGAAGCTTCCTGGGAAGAGATGGAAAGGATATTTGCCAAATACGACCACGACCATCATATCTGCAGAATCGCTGACATGGCGAATTCCTGCATCTGTCGTCTCGAGCCAAGTTCCAGAGTAATTGGTTCAAGAACTACCCCAGAACACTCTTCTTGTACAGCAGATGAAATGAGCCGACTAGTCCATGAAGCATTCGAGGCGTACACCGATGGAACCTTTTCGACAGCCATGGAGTACATCAGAGAAGCAGATTCGCTTCCACGTTCCAGCAATAAGACATTAGAAGGTATTGGAATTTCAGTTACCAAATTTCATAAATGCTTACTCCACGACAAACCGATACTTAACGTCATTCAGATCCTTGAAAGTGAACACAACGGAAGGTGCCCACGCTTTTACTTGGCTCCATGTCTAATGTTACAACACATGAAAATCCAGCTGAAATTAAACTCACTGCTACACAATACAACAGCTCTTCAGCAAAAGCTTGATAAGCTCCAAAGTATCGTCCAAAGACTGTCGCCTACCGAGCCATATCCTGGAAGACTCTCCTACAGATTTGCAGGCGTTTTTCTCTTACGAGGATACGAACGATTCATTCGTGATCAGCAACTTTCTGTCTCGATTATTATTCCGTCAGAAACATTTAACCAAAAACGTTTCGCAACCAACTTTAATTTAAAATAACTGAATTACCGAATGCACTACACTTAAACACTTAAATCCGAGAATCAAGGCGTCTGTGCAGATTTGCTCAGAAATTGAAAATTTATAGGAGCCTAGAGTGAAGGGTATTTTTGGTGTTAATGAAAAAGTGGAAAATTGCCTTCCCAACGTAAGTTATGAAATGCTTTGGGAAATTTTCCTTTAGCACCTCAAAGTACAGGACGCTTAAGGTACTGAAATATTATCTAACTTGGCAAATCCAAGGCAAATGAATTGATATGTTTGAAGTTTTTTTTTGATAACACTCACACGAGTACTCGCTGAATTACTCCCTGGAATTGAGCGTCTGTGTAAGGATGTAAAGCCTAGTTTGAAATAACGACGTATTTTGTAATAACTACACAACCAAGGAACGTCGAACAGTATTTCAGTTATTATCGAGTATTACCAGTATTTCATCAGAATTCGCCATTTTGAACAATTGAATCTTACTTTCACACAGAGACCTGCGTGGGACACCAATTATAATGAGCCAAACTATTGCCACATTGCTTTAGCAACCCCAAACCTTTTGACCCACCATGGGAGGAAATGTAAGCAAACGCGCCAGATAACTGAGTCTTTCTTTGAAAATTAGATTTTTTTGTCCATGTATACCGTCTACTAAAGGTAGATCTCACAAGGATATTTTGCACTAGAATTCCTTTCCTAGTCGTTTACATATTGTAATGGGATATCTAAACAGTATTTAAAGGCAAGAACCGCCTAATGTATCTGTAATTTTGTTCTTCACACAGGACTGATTAATGTATCCGGAGACAACGGTCAAAGAAAAGAAGGAGCTTATTATTAAATAATTTTAGTTGCAAGGAGAATTAAATTCATTTGGTAAAAATAGAAGAAGGGATTAAAGTGAATTTCTCTCATCAGCAACCACCTTTTTAAGGAGAGAGGAACCTGTGTAATTTCATTGCGCTTCCAGTTGTATTGAGTCAGCAGCATTTCTTGTGCCAGTCTACACTCTAAATTGTGCTTGGTTTTCTACAAGAAATAATCTCTTATTATCTGTTAATAATGGTAATAGGAACTCTGCTGAAAACAACCTATTTTGTCTCAACACTTTTATTTTATGGATGGCCAAACTTCTTCACCTTTTCGTGCCGGATAAAAAGTGTTAAAAGTAAACACATACAAAGTTTTCGCTAGGAAACGTAAACCTTGATTTTCTCAGCTTGACCTATCAACTTATTTTTAAAAGATTTTAAAACTTTCAGCTACGCGGAAAAAGTTGAGAGAGAACTAATCGCCCATAGAATTACTACCTAAAGAAAATGAACACTAATCTGCTCTAATTGGGTTCATCTTGTTCTATCTTTTACCGAATAACTGAGACTACAAAGCATGGTTTAGACGTGCCTCTGCTTCCAAAGAATGTCAAAGAATATCATGCTAAGGGATTGTAGAAAATTTATAATCTATTAATTATGCGTATTTGCAAACTAAAGATTACGTTTGATTCCAGAAATTTTAATTTCGCGACTGCGCATCACTTGTCATTCGAGAAATACAAACAGGTGTTGAGTAAAAAGCTTTTCCAAGTTGGTGCGAAATCTCATGGCTTTTTCGGATGTTAGTCTTTCGTTAAAGCCTGTAATTGCTTCGGAAAAAAACGAATCAACACCACCCGCTGTCAATATGTTTTGAAGTCTTCCTGAGGTTTTGAGAAACAAAGGAACTGGACTTTTTATCTTTAGAGAACAAAGGGATCTCTGAAAAAAAAAAACCTTAACTTTTATTACCGGCTATTATCTTCTACGGATCAGAGACAAAAATTGGAAGAGATTAGCATTTAAACAAGTGTTTGGTTGTGTCTTAAATTCTTACATATCAATTGTATTTTAGAATCATTCAAAACAGTGCATGAGTTTCAAATGGTTCTGAGCATTCTTGTACACAAGATGTAATTACTGAAGCTAAAGATAAACGGAATTTGTAGAAATTTTAACTTCGTAACTTAGTATCAAATAAATTTATTTTTTCGTTTTTTATGTGGCGAAGAAATTTTCTTGGCTGCTTAGTCGTGTTTTGGTTATCACGAAAAGGTTTTTATCGATACAGCTTCCAGTCAACGTATCTGCGTATTAAGAGCAATGCGCTGAGAATATCAACCATTATTTGGAATTTAACAAGAGTATATTCGATATTTTTTCTTTAGGATACGTGACAGTTACAAGGTTTTTAATTTAATCTCTCCTCTATTTCGTGAAAATCTACCGATTGTCAAACGTGTGCATAGTTACATTTAGGAGAAAGGTTGGAGCACGCAGACAGAATTTTCATATTCGTAACGACCAGCTTTAATCATTGAAAGCATTACCAGTAGAACAATTTTTTATCAATTTTGTTCTACTGGCATTCCTTTTTGGACCGTTAGTTCCAATCATCTACTATCGCCTGTTAAAAGTGATCACCTGAGCGTTTGTAATATGTCGCCTCATCCTTAGAATCGTTTTTGTAATGAATTCTCTGAGTAAGTATTCTCCTTCGCAGCCGTCGTTTGTTGTCGTCACGCAACGCGCTTTCTCCTCCACCAAGAGGTGAGCTGGTTGAGCGACAAGACCGTACAATGTCGCTGCCAAGGAGACTACTACTCAAGAGCAGAAGTCTTTAAACCCCAACTTGGGGTGCGAAATGGTTTGTGGTCTCCTTGGAGTCGTGTATTTCAGTAATCTGTCAATCAATATTACAATATGCTTTGAACCTTCACTGAGTATGATCCTCTATCTCTCTGTTAAAATTACTCGGGAATGAACTCTAAAACCATAAATTTATCCTTAAAATGTTTAAGAAAAGGAAACGACACAAGGAAATATTAGGTTAATTTAAGTAAATTAAAGTTCTTTCACTAAGTTAATTCCGCTCTTTTATAGCAAAAGACTTCAAACCATGATTTTCAAACTTTAAACTTGGTATTTTTAAAATTATTTACCAAAATGAATTGAAAAAAATCAAAATCGAAGACAGAATTTCCACTCCAGAGCACCTACCGATGCTCGAAAAAGGAAATTGTAATCTTGGCATCAATTACAGCAGACGACATCAACCTCTTTACGTCTTACTCTGTTTCAATTGTCAATGGATCACAGGCTGCATATAAGTTGAGGCTTGACCAACCTCGAACAATGTTTCCTTTCCATCAAAGCTCTTGACCAAAAATTTGGAAATACGCTAATAACAGTTTTGACAACAAATAGTTCTTATTGTTTCTAGCTACGTTTTCTATCCTTATGAGGTGCACTCCTCCGTCATTACGGAAAATCACGCACACGCGCGATTTACAGGCGCATATGAGCCATGGTGTAATAAAAATGAAATATATACAGTGGTTGGAACGGGCCAACAACGCTTTCAAGCTTTCCATGATGGTGAAATAAACAGGGTTCATCTTCCTTTTGATTGTTCTTTCAGTTTTCAAACTTTACTCCATGGCGAGAAGAATTCTGGGAAGGAGGATAAGTTTGCATGGCAGGCGCATGGTTAACTGGGTGCGAAGGATTTGAATTTGTTTTCAATTCTTTGGGCGAATAGTTTTTACGAGATAGAGTTGTTAACACCACCCCCGACTTTTAACTTGGAAGGGCGTCAAATTAGTCTAATTTTGTTGACACTAAGGCCTGTCTGTGTAACAGCCGATTCAAATCTGTCTAACTTTACGTTACAGAATGCTAGCGTGTCATTAAGTGTGATATATGCAAACCTAGGTCCTTCCAAGGTGGGCGTCCACGAAAAATTTGTCAAACCTTGTCGCAAACAGATTATCGACAAGGAATCTTAGGAGAAAAACTGGTCGCCAGAGTTATGTCATGGAAATCAAACGCAGTCGCCGAATCCAATGGGTGTTGCACGTGGTGAGAACGAATCGAGCTCGTTTCCTAAGGGTTACTCCGCGCTCAAAACCATCGTGTAAAACGAAACCTAGTTGGGCAATGGGTTGGTCATGGCTGAGCTCGGTGAAATAAAAATCATGTGGGATGAGGCAGAGCATGCTGCACAGAACAAGACTAAGTGGATAGAGAATGGTGTTGCTTTATGTCTACAGGGAATGAAGTAAGTTTACGAATTTGTGGAAAGGAGTAATTTGGACTGTTCTTGCCGGTAAGGAATAACAGAAGTAAGAGACGTTACTCATTATGCCGACCCGATCACGGCCTGACATTTACATAATTATATGATGATGAACCAAATTGCTAAATTCCTTGCACGCTTATTTGAGAGTTTGTTGATTACTTTCCTTCGAGTCGTTGAGCAATTTTGTCAGATCTTGGGTTTAAAACCTTTTTGTGGCACATCAAGAACTTTCGCCCAAGACAAGCTGCTGATAACGTTTTCCTGGTTTTTGACAAAGGAAATCCGGTTTACTTTCGGGATTGAGTGACGCTGCAAATTTGTTGATCTGCTCAAGTGTGTTAACTACAGGTTTGGCTTTACTGTGTTGCTCTTTAGAACGTACTATGATCATTCCCGAAAACATTTTCATTTTACCTGCATGAATGTTTTAATCACAAGTCGATAGCAGTTGACTGCCAAACTTTAAGAGTGCACTGCTTTTACAATATTAGTATTAGGGCGGTACTGATAGCTGCAGCACTCCTCCATGAGTGTTCCGCCATAACCGCGGCCTTCGTTCTTCATTCGTGAATCAACTCCCTGACACTGAAAGAAAGTCTTGGATGTTCCTTCATCAAATTGAGCAACTGGCTGTGTCTTGTTGCACCCCAAAGAGCTTTTAGTCATGTACAAGTAAAACACGGTTCAGAGTCTGTTTCAGCATGCACGACTCGCTTTGATTTGGTTATTATTGCTTCTATTGTTGCGAACACGCAGGGTTTTCCGTCAAACACTTTGGGAAAATCTGTGATTGAGGATCACTTCGCAAAGATTATTAATGCCACTTTGTCGCTTGCTTCAGCGGTTTTCAGTAAAATCATCTTTCACTAACTTGACATATGTAGAATTCATTC